GGGTCTCCACTTCCGGTCTCGCGGCCCTATTTAAGGGCGGAGAGCGTTGAGGGGGGCCTGCGCGCCAATGAATCCACGTAGAAGGCTGAGGAGCCTGGGAAAACGCGTCCTCTGAGTCCGCCCTATCAGCCTGCCGGGAACCGTTGGTTGGCCGGGCCGGGCCGTCCCGCCTGCAGGAGGGGCGGAGCGTGTGGGAGGGGCGGGGCGAGTGGGAGGGGCTGTGGGGGGCGGGGCCGCCTGCGAGCTGGGGTCCACGTGCCCAGTGCAATCACCTGCACTGCGGCGGCCAGAAGCAGTCCCTGAAGGGCGTCGCAGGTGTGGGGTCGCTCCACGTATTCTTAGCAGCAAGGCCAAGGGAATGTGTAAAGGTGATGGATAAACGCTCCCACAATTCCTCTCATGAACCAGGAATCTTGTCTTACTTAATTACAGGTAGCTTTGACAAATTGCATCAAGTGTCTAAATGCATTAGTGAACAAACGAATGACTTTTCCTGCACACTCGCAATTTCAGATATTGCACCATTGTCAAATTGTATGCTGCGATGGGGTTCGTAAGCATGGATACCCCCAGCTCCTTCCATTGCCCACTCTCCATACATGAGGTAGACTACAGTGGAGAAAGCAGGCAGCACTCAAGGAGAGTGAAGAGCATCCCAGGTTCTAGAGGCAGAGGACAGCAGCAGGCTGAGACCAGAGGCCAGACACCACCCCACCCCCAAAGAGGAGGCAGTTACTCGCTGGCCAGCCTGGTGTTGCTACACACTCCAGACTGGGCTGCGGGAGCCTCCTGGTGGGAGCTGTGATTCACAGGCACCCCCAGGGCCCATGCCCAGGCTGGCTCAGAGGCACAGTCCTGTTGGCCCAGATGCAGAGGATGGGACCACCTGGGTACAGGCCTGGCAGACCCTGCTGGGTGTTTTGGGGAAACGTGTTTGAGATTGATAACAACAGTGAGCACCACTGAGGGTGACGCCGGGTGACGCCCTGTGACACTGCCTGGCAGGGAACCAGGGTGTGCTCGGATCTCTGGCTCTGCTCCACAACTGCACATTGGAGCTCTTGAAGCCTCAAAAACACTGAAGGCCAAAAATGACCTGAATGTGCATGAATGGGCAGAAAGATAAACATAACTTGGTCCACCCATACAGCTTTACATTTACAGAAGAGAGATTCTGACCCAGGCTACGTGGGTGAGCCCAGAGGACCCATGCTCAGTGAAATAAGCCCACACAGGACAAATGCTGCATGATCCCCCTCCTCTGAGGCCCCCAGAGGGGCTGGA